ACACACCCAATTGGCCAGACTCACTTATCACATGGCCACACCTAACCCTAAGGAAAGCTGGAAAATCTAGTCTTTCTGTTGGGTGGTTACGGGCTTAATTAAAATTCAGAGAATTACTAAAGTGTAAAATGGATATTGGGAGACAACTGGCTATTTCTGCCATGTCCCCTACAATCTACTCTGTACTCAGCAGCCAGTGATCCCTTCAAGACATAAACCAGATCATATCACAGCCTTTCATAAAATCTTCCAATACAGTGCCATTACATTGAGTGTAAATCCATACCCCCTACTCTGACTTCAGAGGTCCTATGTGATTTAGCATCTAACCACTTCCTTGACCTCCCGATTGCTACCTATCGCTATACAGGCCTTCTTCCCATTACTTCAATATACCAAGCTCCTTCTTGCCCTAGGGACTTGCTTATTCTTTTTGCCTAGAATCTCTCTGCATGGCTGGTTCCTTCCTGTCATTCAGGTCTTGTGAAGACTTTCTGACTTCTAAAGAAGCTCTACATTTTCTCCTTCATCCTGTTTTATTATATAAATATTTTAATTATTATTTATATCACTTGATATTTTGCTTATTATTTGTCAGTTCCTACTAGAAAGAGAAGCCTTGTCTGATTCACGGATGCATCCCTGGTGACTAGAAGATTGCCTAGCCCACGCCAGCATTCAATAAAAATTAGATGAATACCTGACATGACTAAGCATGATCCTGATTACGTCCTTTTTGTAACTACAACATACAGTGCGGAGTCCTGCATCAACAAATGAGAAGCACACATCTTGGTTAACAGTAGTCACACAGATGACCCAGCTTCTTTTATCAAGCATAAATCAAGGGACAGGAAAAGAATTGATTGTTTTTCTTTTCTTTTCAGATACCCAGCCACTAAGCTTACTTTTCTCAAGCTGGCTCAATTTACCTCTGTTAGTAATTAAATGTGCCTCTTTCCAATAAGCCCTCCTGTTTTAAGCATCAAAGCGGTAAATGAAAGGTTTGTAGAATCTATCACAAGATGCCAGATGTAACAACAGCAAACTCGTCTCCCTGCTCTTTACTATCTTCAATAATGAAAGCAGAATGAGGTTCGATGAGAGTCCAATACTACTTGAGGTAGTAGTAACTTGTTTTCGATCAGCTATGTTCCACAGAACAGAGTACCCAAATTTAATCAAACTCAATTTTACTTATTAGCTAAGAAAGAAGATGGACTTGGCAAACTTTGGGATCACTCCAACCTACATATGCTAATCATACTGCCAACCACTTTAAGAATGAGTAGCTTAGCAGAAGTGCTTTCTTTCCTGCAGAGTGTGACAACCTCCTTGCTGGCCAAGTGCTCCTAAGAGAGCAGTTTTGTATGTTCTCATTTTATAATAGCCTTCTTTAGACATTCACAGCAACAAATTTTAATGTGACCAGGTCACATTTTAAAGAGTGATATCTTCTCACCCACTAGTGCTGTAATTTCCAACATATTAGTCCAGGCATATTTAAACCAACATGTTTCAATGTCATTTTGCCTAGGAAGAACTGAACTTTCAAATTAGTATACTGCAATTTTGTGAGTGATATAACAAACATGTTAAAAAGTTTTGGGGGCCACTCTGATGAGCCTTTGAGAGGGTGAAGTCCCTCACCAATTACAGCAACCTTGCTCTTATCTATTACCTTTGTTTAGTTTTTAAGTATCCCCTCAGAAGGGTTCCTTTTGAAGAAGTTCTGTTAAGGAAAGTTTGGAAACCAATGGATCTTAGGGTTCCCCTTTCCAACTCAAAAACCGTAATAACTGGGATTTCATAGTGATTCAGGGACACAGTTTTAAACATCAAGAATTACTCTGCAAGGAGCTTAAATTTAAAAATGAGACTGGAAAAAAAAAAACTAAAACAAACTACAGGAGACTGCTGAATGGGTAGTAACCAAAAACAGAATTGGAGAGTTTAAAACATTGGATATGAACTTTGTTTATAGTTTATCTTTTTTCTATCTTATTCCAAAAAGGCCTGAAAGTGATTTGAACTTGTTTTGTAATGCACATATGTGTGTATTATAAGGCTGCATGTTTTTTCTAACAGGTGAATTTGGTTTCAAAACACAGATAAACTGGATTCTAGTTTGAGGATTTACTACAATAAAACCAGTGTTTAGTCAGACTTCAATTTTCAGCCTTAAAACATTTCTCCTATTCCTGGGGGAAAAAGTAAAAAAGTTAATTTTTAACAAGACTGTGCTTTAAAGCTTCACTATTAAAGGGACAGCTTTCCAGTACCACACATATTTTTGTATAGTTTACTAATTTTTGGAAGAGGCATGAGAATGATAGACAGGAGTTAATTTTTTGTCAGTCTCAGGTAAGATTTTAAAAATATAGTGCCGAGGGATATTTATGCTGTTACACAACAAATTACACAGTTTAAATATAACTGAGTCTAATAAGATTCTCCCAAAGTGTGATGAGTAAATAAAACAGTAAAAAATAGGTTTATAGTACTAATGTAATATTTTCATGTGACTATGATGCTTACTTAACTTTGACAGAAAGTTAAATCAAATTTTATAAGACCCAGAAGGATCATAAACAGTTAAAAGTGAATTATTCAGTTTTAACAACATATGAAAGGTTTAAAAAGCCTAGTAGAGTTATCCTTTTGTTCTCACTGCTGAGAGTAAAACAAAAAGAATCAATGGCATCTTAAAGAAAATTACCTTCTACTTAAGATCTCACACACTCATTATGGATGATTTTAGTAGAAACTGACCATAATACTGCAAACAAGGCTTTTGGTAGGTAATATCTATAATTATGCAAATATTAAATAACTGCTTCTGATAAGAATCTCTTCTGTATTGAAGCAATTCACCTTACAGGATACTTAAGGGCTGCTTTTTCATGCCTTGATGCACACAATGAATGCGAGCACTAGGAAAATCCAGTATTTTTCCAAAAGATAATTTTTTAAAATTAAAAAAAAAAAGCAATTTCTGTATAGGTAACACACGCATTTGGTTAAAAAAATCAAGGGCTACAGATGGGGATGCAGTGAAAAAGAAGTATTCCCCTCACTCTCTCTCCCAGATTCCCCTCTCAGAATCAACTTTCGTTAATTTCTTGACTCTTTCCAGACCAATTCCCCAAATTTACAAGCACACACACACACACTTTAGAAGACTTAAAAATAGCTTGTTTCATCTCTAGCAAGCCTACAACAACTTAGTTTGAGCTTTAAAAATACTCTAGCATGTACAACAAGTGTAGGTTTTAGTGTACACTAAAAAGAAAAGCCAGATACTACCTTGTTTTCACTGTTGGCTCTGCCATCACCACAGAATCCTTTCCGGAAAGGTGCAACAGCTAAATCCTTCACCACAGTGGCCAGAGAGGGCAGTATGTACCAACGACAAAGGCAAAGGCAGAAAAGCTGCAAATCCCTTCAGGATTCAGGAGGACCAGCAATTCTGTCCTATCCAGCTCAGTTCCCTGAAGTTCCGCAGGTAGAGCTGTGTAACAGGGCTAACTGATTTCTCCTTAGGGGGCTACCCAGATGGACTATCATGATGGTGATAACCATAAAGCAGTCAGGACAATGAAGCAAATTTGGATAATGAGCACTATCAGAAAACCTACTGTGCATGTATGATTTTGGAAGAATAAAACAGTCTTAATTTCCAAGGAATGGCTACATAAATTAGGATTTAGATAGGAAAACGATACGAAATTAACATCAGAGTTTTAAATTTTAATTTAATGAAGGAATCACTAAGAATTCAGGGGGTGATGTGAAATATTCATTAGGTAGAAAGTCCTAAGTTACCTTAGTACCAATTGTACCTATAAGTATACCGTTAGGTAAACATTTGAAATTAAACTGCTGAAATCTCAAGGATGAATTTAGGAAAATCTGGAAGGCAGGCTGTCCAGTTAAAATTAAAAGCAAAATTATACTGAATTTTCTAATGAACAAATTAGAAAAAAGTGTTAATATAGAATGGGAAAAAAACACCCAACATTTGTCACTGTACAAATATCAGGACACAATAAGCTATATGTGACACTGCTAATACCTTAACTCCTTATCCAATATAAAAAAGAATATTTCATAGCATTAACAACGTACAGCTATTCAGTTTTCAATTTAAATCAGTAGGGGAAAAGGGAAGCCCTTTTTTTTGGTGGTGGTGTTTCCTTTCCTCTGACGCTGAAAAAAGGATTTATTCAGTCCGAGTTTCGGAAGCAACTTTGTATCACAACCTTAATTATCTATGCATATAAATTTCAATCTAAAATAACACCTCCAGGAAAATGCAAAGCAGCTATAGCCTGTTTGGGAGCTTTGTGCACTTGGCAAGCCCACTGTTTTAATTCCCGGTACAACAAATCAAAAAGAACCACACACCGGCGGCACGGTATTCCGAGGTCCCGGGAAGCGCCGGGGCGCGGGCGCGAGCAGCGGGCTCCGGGCCGGGCCAGGTCGGGTCGCGGCGCCCGCAGTGGTGCCGCAGCCTCCGCGGCCGCAGCAGGTGGGACCTGGTCCGGCCCGCAGGCCGTTCCGCCATCCGCCAGCGCAGGGCTTTTCCAGAGCTACTCCGCGACGCCTCGGCTTGGGGCTTTTATTGTTTGCGTGCAATGACTTTCTGTCATTAAATGCTGAAAAAGACCGGCCTGAGCCCCACTTACACGAACCCCACAACTTTGCGAAGCGATGCACGGAATTGTAAGAGGCGCGAGGACACGGCTCGGAGGGCCCCGCCGGGCCGCTGCTTCCCGTTCTACCGCGCGTTCCCACCAGTGCCCCCGGAGCCTGCCAGACACGCAGAGGGCTGGGGGAGAGGCGCTTGGAGAGCAAGTCAATCGGGGTGGGCGCCAGAGCTCCGCGGTCCGCGCGGACCAGACAAAGAGGCGCGTCGGGCGCCCAGTCGCGCCGGGGAGGGACGCGAAGACGCCGGCCTCGGCCCGCAGGGGGCGCCGTCCGCGGCCCCCGGCGCTTACCTTTGAGGACCGCGCAGAGCTGCTCCAGGGCCATGTTCCCGAGCGGCCCGTCGCTTCGCGAGGGGCCGAGGCGGCGGCGAGGAGGAGGCGGCGGCGGCGCGGTGCTCACGGCCCGGCGCGGCGGCAGTCCCGCTCGGTCCCCATCGCCGGCCACCAGGCTGCCTCCCCGCGGGGCAGGGCTCAGGTCCTGCAGCCCGCCATGCCCGAGCCCCTCGGCGGGCTCCCGCGCTGCCCGAGCCCCCCGACGGGTGCCGCCTCCTGCTCCGCGGCGCTCTGTCCCATCGACTGCCCCGGAGCCGAGGCGCGCTGGCGCGAGGGACGACACCCGCACGGGCCGCTCCTCCTGCGGCCGCGGCGCGAGCCCCTCCGAAGTGGCGGGCGCGGGCAGCCCAGGCTCATTTAAGCAGGGAGCGCGAGCGCCGCGTGCCGGCCGCGCAGCCTGCGCGCATGTGCCCGCCCCCCGCTCCCGCCCGCGTGCCCCTCGCACTCTCCCGGCCAATCGCCAGGCGGGCCCGCCCGCGGCCTCGCGCCCCGGCCGGGCTGCGCGCCAGCGACCGTTGGCCTGGGGGCGGGGCGACGAGGTGCGGAGAGCCGCTGTCTCGACCCCTGCGGCAGGGAACCGCGGCTCCGAGAGGCCTGAGCTGAGGGAGAGCCCGGCCCATCCCCCGCCGCTGCAGGGCGTCCGGGCTGAGCTGGTGCGAGCCCTCGAGGCCTCCGGCCCAGGGGGAAGGGGCTGGGGAGCCCGCCGCCCACCCCGAACCCGGCAGCCTTTGCCCGCCGGCCCTTCTCCGTACGTCTTCGCAGATAGACAGGGGGCACCGACCCTTCGGCCTCTTAGGACCTCAGTTCAAGGTCAAAACTCTGCCCAGCTTGCCTCTGCTTGATAACCTGCCTCGGGCAGGGGCGAGGATCTGGGTAGGGAGTTCAGGGACAGAGGGCGCCTGGGGTTCTTGCCTCCCCTTGGCGCCAGTTGAGTTAACCTGACGGCCGTGATGATCACTAACATTTCCTAAAGGCTTCCTAGGTTGCCAGGCACAGTACCAAATACTTTGCCTATCATACTCTTTTTAGTCCTCAAACCCACCTCATGCCGTAGGTACTGTTACCGGATGGGGATAACGAGGCCAGAAACGTTAAGTAGTTTGTCCAGAGCCACAGAGCGAGCGAGGAAGGCAGGTTTGTGGAGCCCGGGAAATCTGCTTCCAGAGAGTGCCCTATTGTCCACCAAGCCATGCTGATGGGGTCGCTTGACTCTGTTGACAAAAAAACAAAAAGCCAAAAAAAAGACCCAAATTGGCAAACTGCATAATATTAATTTTCCTGTTTTATTTTCTCCATAGTAATCATCACGCTATCTAGCTCATCTACTTGTTTAATTGTTCATCACCTATATCCCATTTACCCCTACACTGCTAAAATATGAGCTGCTTGTGAGCAGGAGGCTACATTCATATAGTCACTCAACACATACTGAGTGTTAACTACGTGCAGAAAATAAGTGCCAGGGAATTAAGGCTGTGGTTAAGGCTCTACCATATAGAATATTTGTGCCTGTATCTGACACATAATAGGAACTCCAGAAATACTTGTTAACAAATTATAGTTAAGGACAATGTTAGACAACTGAAAAAACTTCCAGGGATGTCAACCTCTTTTCTCTTTCCTTCTGTCCCTCTAAGAAAGGCACAAAAGTATTCACAAAGTTTGCAAGTGAAAACATATTTAACACCAATTAATAGCAACATATTTAGCCCTTTATCATGTGCTATGGGCTGTATAAAAGATGTGTATGTGTTGGTTCCCAAGACAAATCACCTACAAATCACAATCACCTGTGAGATTGCACACAAGCACCACCTAGTAAATAAAACATTTGAGATCCTCTTCCACAAATATAAAGTGACATATTGGAAGACAAGGACAGTAAGAGTATTAAAGGTAAGTCACAGACAATGTGGACAAAAAGAATTAGGAGCAAGGAGCCCTCTCAACTTCTGGAACAAAAGAGGTTCTTAATGCATAGTTGTTGACTGAAGGAAGAATCAGTGTCTGTGATATCATTAGAGAATGCTTCATGGAGGAGGTGACCCACAGACAATGGAAAGGCTATGGATGGCAAATGGAGAGGAGATAAGGCAGAAGACCTTTCAAGTCAGGCAAGGAGCAAGACTTAGTATTGCATTTGGGGCAAGTTTTGTCTCTGGTAGTAAAGACAGAATATGGTGAGCTTTGATGGTGGAGATGCTTACTTAAATGCTAGGCAGAGGGGTTTGTGCTTGATTCAGGAGGCCAGAGGCATAGTTTTTAATAGTGGAGTGATGGAGCTCTGGAGAAACTAATCTGTCAGTTCAGTTGAGGATATAGTGAAAGGAGGGAGGGGATTAGAGCAACTGTAGTAATTTAAAAAGTATATACACAGGACTGTCATTTGGCCTAGGAGCCCTTACTGGTAGAACTATTTTGATGAAACCTAAAAAGGTTTTTTTCCTCTAGGATATTGGCTGGGATGTAGATTCCCAAGGAATAGATTGGGAATGCTCAATTTTGGCTCCCTCTTAAGACACCTGTCTTTTGGCTGGGTTAGTATAATTGTCTGTAGTAGATTTTTCAAGGAATGTGATAAAGCACAGATCATAGCTGGGACTACTGTGTGGCCATATGTTAACTCAATCAAAAGGAAAGCAATTTGCATATCTCTCAGTTGGAGAGTTCTGTATTTGAATTATTATTTCCCCGCAAGACCACCCAGTAGCACTCAAGTCTGTTCCCAGGTTACCTGCCAGTTCCCAGGTGACTGGGGACTCTGTTTTTGTTGCATTCCACCTGGTCCTTCAAGGCATAGTTATGGCCTCTCCCAGCTCCTCAAAAAATCATTCCTATAGTTTAAATTTGCTTTTCTCTAACCAAATCCCCTGTAGCACTTGAATGGTATGTAGTGTTAACTTACTATGAAAATAAATCATTTAAAAAAATACAGCATTTTATCTCAATGTTTATATACTGAACAGCTTTTTGTTGTCTCTCTTTTCCATTAAAGGTAGGGAGCTCTAACACTTTATTAAATGGTAGCCTAGGAAGCCAGGTTGTTATGTGTAGAGATTTTTATGGACTGAGTATTTGTTTCTCTTAGAATTCATAAGTTGGAGTCCTAACATCTGGGACTGTATTTGGAGATGGGACTTCTAAGGTTAAATGAGGGTGGGGCCCTGATCTGATGGGATTGGTGTTTTTATAAGAAGAAACAACAGGGAAAGGACCCCTCTCCTTGACCTTCCAGTACAGAGGAAATGCTGTGGGAGGACATAGGGAAGGTGGAAATCAGCAAGCCAGGAAGAGTTCTCACCAGAAGCCAGATTGGCTGGAGCCTTGATACGAGATTCCAGCCTCCAGAGTCGTGAGAAAATAAATGTTGCTTAAGCCCCCCAGTCTATGGCATTTTTTTCTTTTTATTGATTGATTGATTGATTGATTGATTGATTTATCACCAGGCTAACACATCCCCCCATCCCCTTCCCCTCTAGAACCCTCAGTTTGTTTTTCAGAGTCCATCGTTTCTCATGGTTCGTCTCCCCCTCCGATTTACCCCCCTTCATTCTTCCCCTCATGCTATCTTCTTCTTCTTTTTTTTTCTTAACATATATTGCATTATTTGTTTCAGAGGTACAGATCTGTGATTGAACAGTCTTGCACAATTCACAGTGCTCACCATAGCACATACCCTCCCCAATGTTCATCACCCAGCCGCCCCCTCCCTCCCAACCCCCACCACTCTAGCAACACTCAGTTTGTTTCCTGAGATTAAGAATTCCTCATATCAGTAAGGTCATATGATACATGTCTTTCTCTGATTGACTTATTTCACTCAGCTTAATACCCTCCAGTTCCATCCACATCATTGCAAATGGCAAGATCTCATTCCTTTTGATGGCTGCATAATATTCCATTGTGTATATATACCACCTCTTCT